GAGGAAATTTGAGTACACCGAGATAAAATTAATGTGTCATAAATAACTTGATATAAACAAAATGTTTTTGAAAATATAGTTTGCATTTCAACAACTTGTGTATTGATATTTTTCTTACTCCTTACTAAAAAAAGCTTTGAGGGGAAAAAAATTATTGATTGTTTCTCAGAATGTAGATTTCTGCGATTCAAACTGCATTCTCCACATTTCAGGTTTAGCATACAAAACTACAGTGACCCAATAAGACTCAAAAATGAGAACTGTTATCAACAGTAAGCAGAGAGCTCGCTTGTGTGTTTGTCAGCTGATAAGGGACACCTAATACACTTCCCCTTGCCACCCTGAGTTCAACCCACATATGTAAGCCTTATCTAATCGTTCACATTTTCCCCAAGCGACCCAAACAAAAACAGAACACGAGGACCGAGCAACTTCTGGATGTGTATCATGCAACTGAAATTGCAGGTGGAACACTTTCAGGTGTCATACACAAAAAGAAATAATAAAAAATAAATACAAATTATATAGTAATAAAGAAAAATGCTGCTTAGGGAAAAGTCAAGTGATATCTTTATAGCATGGTTTTGAAGTAACGCGTATTTTAACTAAAATTCAGTGTAATTTATTTTTGTGATATTTTTCTTAGTGTGCATCTTATCAATAGCCCAAATCGTGACCCAAATCAAAACCAACTGCATTGAGCGCAAATAAAAGGAGCAATGAAAACGTGTAATGGCCAAACAAACCTGACACAATTCTCTGAGACTGACTATAAAGCGATATAGAAAGACAGCGGGGGTACGAGAAAGTTGAGTCAATCAAGCGAGCTTCTATTCACGTCAAATTAGTCGATTGCTGCCTTCGTACGCTATATAAATGACTAACTGGCCGAGCCAATGATTCACCTATAGCTGCCTAATATAAATGTACATTTTCAAAAAGGGAAAACAAATAATTGCAATTATCTTTGCCGTTATATTTATAAAAGCATTGTGTAAGATGTGGTTTTTGAAAACGGGGAAGTCACTAATGAAAGGGATCACTCAGTGGGACGTGCTGATAACCACAAAAATTTAAACACAGATGGAAGTCACTCACCAACAACCGCTGCACTGAGTAATAAGTAATAAGGGCTATTTATTTTTATTTATCTATATAGTTATATAATTATTTTGCACAATTGTAAAGTGGAGTAACAAGAAAGTTTTATGACCCTTACATACCACAAATGTTCTATATTTAATCACAGAGAACCTTAAAAGCGCCCTTTTGCAATTACTTCCTTTGACCATTTAAAAAAATTCCTGGTCTCCCTTTATTTTGGCCACGTTTTCACGCTTTTGGTACGTGCCCATAAAGACAATTCAGTGCCGCCGAATCGATCAAAAGTTCGCTTCATTGTGCTCGAGCCCCACACACTTGTTTGCAGTTGCAGCCCGAAAAACAACTGCGGAAAACGGGAAACTTTTCTATAAGCTGTGCAACTTTTTCCCGGCTTTCCCGCTTTCCTTTCTTTATTGTCTTTTCAACTGTTTTGTCGAGCGGCAGAGGAGCAGAATAAGTAGGGTAGATCCCCATTATATTTAATTTGCCTGGCATACGCTTTGTCAATATCGCACTTCTCCCATCTCTTTTTGGCCCCCAAAAATTTCAGAATGGCCCAAAGCGTTGCCAACTTCCTGGGCACGCACACACTCTCACAAAAGAACAGACAAACACAGATAAACGCGTTACGAAATACACACGCATATACTAAAGATGCATGCAAAAAAGTTGTTGTTGACATTGTTCAGTCATTTTTCAGCAAATTAGTCATGAAATTGTGCATTTCTATTTGTCTCTCGCCCCAAATTGCTAAATTTGTAAATAAAAATTGTCCGCCAGCGATTATTCAGCGATATATGTACGAGTATAAGTGTGAATGTGAAAAACGGCGAAAATTCAATCGACAAGTGATACAGCGAATTTTGCGAATCAAAACAATTCAATTGGAATGGAACAAGTGTTGGGGAATTAGTTATCGAATTTGGTCATTCAACTTTGGTTTAAGTTTTGAAGTTTGGGTGATAAAAGATTTTTGTTTCCGCAATTTCACCAATCAAAAGGAATTAGAATCAATAAAGTTTCCGAGTAAAAATTAAACGTTTCATAATGCTCATCCATAAATCATAGATTGATTAGAGACTTACAAACCAAGCAAACAATTAGAAGCCGGAAGAAAAGCATTTAAAAAGAAGCCCGTTAGCAATTTACCGCCCTTTTCCTTCCCAGCCTTCTAACGGGGGAAAACTCCCGCTTTTCATTAAGGGAATACCTTTCGAAAAACTAAAGGCCTCAGCGCGATAAAGCTTTTGTGTCCTTCAGCCAGTCCTTTTTCGCAACGTTTCAGTTACTGGAAAATTTTCAGTTGGTCGCCCGGACGCTTTTTTGTTGACCAGGTAGCAAAGCAAAAAGCCAAAATGAAACGATGTTATGAATATGAATGAGAGACGGAGGAGCTTGCCCTTCTCTGCGATTCCCATTGCAATTACCATAGGTAGAAAAGAGTTGAAAATTATGTATGTCATGGGCGGGAGGGGCTGGAATGGATTGGATTGCCAAAAAAAGAGATATAGATGCCGTCACAGTTTTGCAGTAGCAGTCACTGGCCAAGTCACATTTAGAGCCAGCAAACTGTTCAAACATAGCACGTATTTAATTCAATGCCTGGATCTTTTTTGTTGCCAGCTGGCATATACATATATACAAATGTAGCATAGGACATGCCTCAATTGGTGGCCATTAAAATGCATAAATGCTGAACCGCTTTTTGCTGGCCCCTAGATGAGGCAGTCATAACTAAATACGTCACGACTGGAGTTCCTTTTGGCCATTTGAGTTACTGTGAATGGTTTTTGGATACAATGCCTTATTTACATGCTGCACATGTTGCAGCTCGTGTCTCCTTCGCCCTTTTTTATGTCCTGCACAAAGGGTATCCATGAAATTGAATGGGAAGTTTGCAAAGGAAATTGTGTGTGATTTTTATGTGAGTTCTGTTTTTTTGGGACGACATAAATAGTGGTGAAAGTGGAACTTATGTGTTATTTGTGCCAAATAAGTTAAATTTTAATTGAAAATTCTGGTACACAAATAAAATGTACTACTGCTTGATTAAAAAAAGTTTGAAGCCAGTAGAAAATATTTTATATAATTTATTCTTCCTAAAAGCAATGAAAATTGTAAAAATTATGCACGGTGTTCTTTTTTATAGTGAGTGCTTCGTACATTTTTTAGTGTATCCCTGGGATCGGTTAGCTGAGTTTCCGGCCCATTCCCAACTGAAAAATGGTCCAGGAGCCATGGCCGGAGCTGCATTAAACATTTATAATTGCAAGACAACAGTCAACTGATGCGATGTCTGCGATGCGTCAGTCCTATAAAAATGTAAAAGTATTCAGTGTGAAGTACCAAAGCCCTGCTAGAAAAAGACGGCAACTGGGTGGGGAAAAGAGATAGGGAGCAAAGCTGAACCTGCAGTGGATTCCCTGCTTTATTTTTTTTTTTTTTTTTTTTTGGTTTTTTGTGTGCAGTTTTTGCATTTACATTTCGTGAACCTTTGAAAGGTTGCAGGGCAGGCTTAGCGTCTGAATAAAATGGTGCTGTCTTAAAGTCACGTCATGTGGGTGGTTCCATTAGGGGGAAAATTCTATGGGAGGGAAAGGACAGGAGCGGAGGGGCTGTTGAAACTGCCGAGGGGTTGTGGCAGTAATGAGACAGCTGCAAAAGCAACAGCTTCATGTGCCGTACGTTGTGTTAATGTTGTTAGGCTTTAGCATAAACCAGCATCTTCTTTTCAGCTAATGAGAAATCTGTCTCAGTTTCCCTGCGAGCTCTACATATATCGTTCTCGTTCCTGCCTGGCGTAATAAGAGGGTACAAAATAATAAGCACGGGCTGAAACATTGAAGGATTTTAATTAAATAGGACCGACAACGTTTTTTGGGCCTGGATGATAGCATAGAATTTATATTCGCATTTGTACGTGGCACAAAGAGTTAAAAGTAATGCTCAAGTGGATGCTGATGTTGTCTCTTAATTTCAAGGATGCATGCTAACTCAAGTAGAGTCGTTGTTAAAATTTTATTAAAAAAGGCTTGGAAACCGGAGACTAATTACAGTCAGGAGAAAAAAATGGGTTGGATAAAATTTAATTTGTTAAGCTAAATAAAAAAAAATTTAACTTCGAGGTAAACTAATTGTTGGAAAAAATAATTTTACACCGACTTATATCAATTCCAATGAAAAAACTATAAAAATGCCTAATGCCCCCATAAAATCAATCAAACTGTTTATAGGCACACAAAGCTATTAAGTCCTCTTACATACAAACACAGACCCAAACTAAAACCGATCAAAACAGCTACCCAATCAGGTAATTACCCGAAGAGAATAATAAGCTCGCCAAGATCTTTGAGTCAAGCCCAATTCCGTTCGAATCACTTTAGTAGATGCTGAGTTACAAAAGTGTGGTTGACCTTTCCAACGGTGTTGGCGCATGGCAAATGCCAGCTGAACCCGAAACAAGAAAGGTCACACTTGACGCGGACACAGGTTAAACACAGCTTCGGTCACACTCTGAGCATGCGCAGTCGAAGTTATGGACCAAACGGGGTCAACCGCCAAAAAAGAGGAACACCTATCAATTTAATGGATATTATGACAGGAGACTTTTCACTCAATCACCACTTTCATATCACAAACACTTTCCATCGCCCCGCGGGGTAATGTCGTGTCTCATCAATCAAGTTTACCGCTCATCTATGATATTATCATTCAGCTTAAGGTGAGAACACGTTTTGGGGGCATCTTTTTATTTATATAGATATATTAATATCTTTGTGTCTGAGAGTGAGCTAAACTTTTTCACACATTTGCGCGGGTCTTAAACGGGCGCGTGATATCATCTCATGAGCTTGACTTTGGCTTTATTTTCTCTCTTGGCTGTTGTTTATTCTTACCTGTTAAGATGGCTGCAAGACATATAAAAACGATCCGTGACATGATTTTGCTGCAGACTTCCTTTGGCTTCCTTTATTTATTTTTTTTGCGTGCGTGTAATCCCGGGCTTATTTTTTTTAAGTTTCCTTGTGTGTATATATTTTTTTGGCTTTACTCCGGTTGCACTTGCCTTAGCTTTTTATGCATACAATAACGACCAAGTACGTTTTGTTGACACTTTACGGCCGCTGAGGCTCTGGTTTATATTTTTTATGAGATGTGTGTATGTGTTTTGGGGTGTGTGCAGTGTGTTTTTGTTGTTTATTGCGGCTCGTTGATATTATTATTATTTTTCTGCAGGGGTATATCCGATCGGTAGGTTTTGCTGGCCTCTAATCGAAGATTATGCCACAGTGATAAACACACACGGACGCGCTGTGGAGCGAATGCCTTTGGCTGTGTTGGTTCCCAATGGCCGGCTGACGCACACGGACGCAGGTTTATACGATTCCGACCCGAATCACGAAATACCGAAGCCAAAAAGCCGAGCGAGCGACGTGCCACCCACGAAATTCAAGAGCGACTGAGGGTAACGAGCGAACCAAGTGCCGAATGCAACAGTTACCAAACGACTGAGTCCGCTCCGTGTTTATGAAGTTGCCAACCGCCCGTGGAACATTGGCAGCGCTGCGGCAGCGACGCCGACAGCGGCGGAGGCAGAGAACTCATGCCAACACACAGGGTATGCGTTTCTACATATGCAGCGGTTGTCGACTGCGCTGCCCTTGTGTTGCATGTTGCCGCTGTATGTTGCTGCTGTTCGCATATCGCCGCTGTCTGCTGCCGCAGTTAGATGTTGCTGCTGCATGTTGCTGCTGCCTTGGCTGGTGTTGCTGCTGTCACATGCGCGACGAGCTAGCAACATTGCATGTTGCTGGCGGCGAACTGGTGTTGCTGGCGTTCATGTTGCTGGTGCTTGTTCTAGTTTACGCTCTGCAGAGACTTCTTTTGCAGGGTACTCATAAATCTTAGGGGTATATCTGCTTACGAAGACAATTCAATTACACTGAAAAAAAGTAATTCATATATCTTATGAGCAATATGCTAGCAGCAGTAGGGGAATGTTGTCAGGGTTGGGCCATGTTTTGACCTATGTCCATAACTTCTGAACCAATGACAATTCAGAATAAGTTTATACATTTTTGGAAAGGTACAAGCAAGAGGAAGTGTTCACCAAAAAAAGAGAACAAAAAAACAAAAACAAAAAAAGTTATAGGCGTTTGAAAAAAAAAAAAAAATGTAGTCAGCGTTGGGCCATGTAGTCAGGGTTGGGCCACCTTCAGAAAATCGTTGACAATATCGTAACGTGGTGGAATAAAATTAAATTCAGGTTTATCTGACATTATTTTGTTCATTTATTTAATTATTTGGGATTTTACAGTAAATAAAAAATTATTCAGAGTTGTTTTTTCGTTTGTAGCGAGAAACACTAAAGAAAAAGATAAAAATGATTCATCTTCTTTCAATCCATCGAAATATTTTTTTAAGAAAATCTATTTAATTTATTTTGCATATTTTTGCTACAAAAAACTTAAATATTACAACAAAAATCGAAAATACACGAATAAAATGTAAAAATTATGATGGCCCAAGCCTGACTACACAAGTGGCCCAACCCTGACGACATGCGGTATTAATCTATTATGGTATGATATAGCCAAACTATATCTCACAATGAAACTATATCTTAGTATTTTGTAAAAAAATAACTATATAACGTATTTTTATGCTCACCTTGCGGATGACATGTTGTTTTCTTGTGATATTCACCTTTTTCGGCCAGGTAAAAAAAACTTTTTCGAGCACTTTTTCTTCACGGAGCAACGACGCGTAGAAGAATGAAATCCCGAAATAAGTAGTCACGTGGAAAGTTTCGAGTGACCGATAGAAGTTTCTAGACACCCACAAACAGATTGTTCTAGAACGAATATTCGAAATATTGAGATGGCCCGACCCTGACAACGGCCCAACCCTGACAACATTCCCCTATATGTTGCTGGCGGTTGACTTGTGTTGCTGGCGTACATGTAAGTTGGTTTAAGTTTATATATAAAACCTATTTAAAATCGAGTTTGAAAATGCTAAATAAAACTTTTTATTCGACACTTATTTATTTTAAGTTTTAAAAAAAATATAAAATGACTAACAAGTTTCTCTATTATTTGCCTAGACGTCATTACTCGTGTATTTTTCCAAGCAATATGCTAATGAATTTGTCACGACCTATGCATTAGAATCGGTCTACTTAACTTTACAAATTAGTTGTTTACATTTGTAAAAAAACACGTGCAAAAGTTTGGTTACTATGGAACGAAATTCACCTTATTAAGTATTAAAAAATTGTGAAAAACAAAGGATAACTTAAATATTTGTCCGTTAAACCACTTCAGTTTAATTAGTGTTAATTAGGTAAATCAATAAATACAAATTAAATAAGCAAATACAAACAAACAATGAAATTATGTAAACAAGAGTTAAATAGGCCAATTTGACAACAGGTATCATACAGTTCTAACCATGATTACTTTTATGCCATCCCTGTTATTGTTGTCTAGTTTGATTTGAATTTGTTTGGCTCTTGTGTATTGCAGTTGTAGTTTTCGTTCGTCTGCTGTTGTTGCTGCTGCTCTTGTTGTTGATTTGGCCAAGTTTGCTTTCAGGCTGTCGCCGATGCTGCTGCAACTGCCGGATTTCTGTCTATTTGTCGTTTGATAATCTACCCCCCCTGCCGGTCGCCTCCTGGATTTCCCCAGCTTTTGTTTGCCTGTCGTGTTGTCGAATGGCACACATACAAATTCCGACCGAGAGCGAATCTTTGGCACAGTGGCTCCTCGTTCTGGTTGTCTGATTCCCAGTTTCCCGGCTCGGACCGCAAATATTGAAAGGGTGGCCCGCTGTGTTTGCCATTGTCCCAGATCGCCAGAGTCGCCCGAAATGGGTCTCTGACCCGACCCATAATGATTTGAATGATGTAAACGAAGTGTTCGATTTAGGGCGAATTCAGCAAACAGACGGTCAGTGGGTTTTGTGCAAAGAAGGGCAAATAAATTTAGGTTGGAATAATAAATACTTATTATAAATATGAAACCTTTTAAATAACATTTTAAATTATAAAGGTATGATAACTGTACCTGTCCACATCAAAATAACTATTAACTCGAGAACATTTAATGGGACCCATATGTGTTCTCACAACCCCACCCTGGTTCATCTTTCGATTCATTGCCCCGTAATGTATTTACTTCTGCATTATTACACTTGCCATCCTGCAGTTCCTCTGCCCCTCGAAACCAGGAAGCAAATAGTATTATCAAACATTTTAAATTTAATCAAAGCACACACATTCAATAAGCTTTTGGCCAAATTTGGGCCATGAAAAGGTAAAGGATGGTAAGCGCACAGAAATTTGATACCCTTTAGGATGCACAATGGTTGTATGTAATGTGGGAAATATTATAAGTTGTTAGCATATTGTTGAAGGCCCAAATTGAAAACAATAAATCATTGCTACTTATTAACAAATTAAAAAAACAAACATTTTAATAAATATGTATATAGAATATTCTAAGCTGATCTGAACTATGTTTTTGGAAAATTGATTTTTTTGTTTCAGCGCTGTTAGAGTAGATTCGAATTCGCATTTGACTTAATGCACAGATTATTTCGTTCCGCCTTTTCAACTAGAGTTTTTTTTGTTAGTTTTGCATTTTGCATGAAATAAAAATATCGCATGCAATAAAGTATATGTGTTCAGGGTGCAGAGGACTGGAAATTGTAAATTCCTGTTATATGCTTGTGTCCATGGGCGGGTTTATACGGGGGGTGGGATGGGATGATAGCCGGGGTGTGCGAGAGTCGAGCTGCTGAGAGCAGACAGCATGTGTTTATTGCCAGCACAAAATGATGATTATACGTAATGTGTAATGGTCAGAAGGGCGAAAGGGGGCGGGCGCAAGTTTTCCGTAGCTCTGAGTGCGACGTGTAAAGCCCCGGAAAAGCAGCCGGAATAGCATCAAGCAGACGGCAAAAACAAACAGGCTTCCCTCCGCCTGGTAGTGGCATCTCCTTAGGTTTTCCTATTCTGCTCCAGCTCCAGAAACACCTCCGCCTGCTTTTTCTTCATCCCTGCTCTTTGCCCATTTTCCGCTCAGCAGTTTTTCCCCTGACGCTCGGGCAACTCTATTTTCCATATGTGTTGCCGGCATCAGCAGCAGCAAGGCACAGAAAACAGCCAGCAACGAACTTAGACCATTTTCGAGGCTCTCTTTCAATTTTTGTTTTGCACACCGTTTCACTTAGTTGAGTTCTTCGGTTTTGGACACAGCTTAAAAAGCAATTTGTGGCTTTAATCTACAGTTGTTTAATTTTCCAATGTTAGAAAAACAGTAAATTATAGTCTAATAATTGCCAATAAATATTCAGACCGAGAACTATACATTCTAAACTAATATGATCTGTGAATTAAAGCCTATAATTTTAAAAATCTCACACTCTGTCAAGCTGCAAGTGAAACTCATTATGTTATCATTGCAAGTCATTTCCATGACACTTTCTGACCAACAAAATAAACCAACAAAACCGAACTGAACCGAAATACAATAAGCGAGCAATTTAATGAAATGAGAATCGCCTAGAAGTCCAAATGTGGAAAATAAGGGGGTCCAAAAAGGTGTGGGCGTTATGGAAAACATGCAAAGCCAAAGAGCCAAGGGAGCTTTTCTATATGAAGTTACCCAAAAACATGTAAATTAAGCATCCGGGGGTGGAGGTGGGAAAAGGTTGGTGGGTGCGGATGAGTGAGAAAGACCTTGCATTACAATTGAGTTACAGTTTCAGTTTTGTTGGCCTTATTGCAGTGGCCACTTCGAAAGAAGAGATTTCGGGGGGTTCTTTAAAAAGGGGAGAGCAGTTCGGAGTTGTTTGCAGCAGAACCATGTTCATATTGTGCGAAACAATGAATTTATATTCGTATTTCTCGTTTTTCACTTTTTTTCTCGTGTTGAGTTATGTTTTTGCTTTTACATAAACACCAAGCGAAAAAGAAGGGAGGCGGTGGCAGTGGATAAAAAGAGTTTTAGGTCTGAAAAATATAGGAAAAGTGGGTGGAAATCTAGAGGAAAGAGGCCATGGACTGCAGTTGGGAAAGCAGAAGAATGAAATAGTGGAGCTGGGTCACTCAGAGCCAGCTTAACACATTTGACTCGTTCAACTCGTTCCGTAGGATAACTTCAACACCCCACCAACCCACCAACCCACTGAACCACCCAACCACCCACTCTAGCACCACTTTCCCCCCTTATATCCACTAGCCCCTAGGCTACAGATTAAACTGTGCTTGTAATGAGAATTTCTGTGCTCCACCTCGCTGATGATGTTGCTGATGAGGAGGCTGCTCACATTGTGGGTGGTCCACTGGGTGGTGCAGCATGTGTAGGTGGCTCCATTGGTGGGTGGGTGAAGGCATTGAGCCTCTGGCAATTTGCATTAAAGTCAGCTCTTTTTCCTGCCACCGCTTTTCCACCGTCACATCTTTTGTTGGGTGAAATAAGTGTGTGCAAAGGTATCGGGTCAGAGCTTGGATTTTATGTCGCTCTCAAAGGAGGTAAAAATGTAATATAGAATGGTTTATATACCCTTTTCAGCACACTACATATTCACTGGGAAAAAGCA